TACTTATTTAAATCCCTATCTATCTAAACGTTATAAAAATGACTCAAATGTTTATCTCAATATAGCCAGGCAAGAAATGTTACAGACATACATACATTGAATTGTACCTTTCTTTTCCTTTAGCCAACAAGCAAATACAACTTCAGGGGGAAAACAATCCCAAGGCGACTTTGTATCTACTAAAGCTGTAGCTACATACAAACATTTATTGAAAAAGGAGGGACAGTAAAATCAGATGAATTAAGTACCCAGCATTATTAACTGTCTCTGCCTGCCTACTCACAATCAGTGCTCTGCAAAGGGCTGAGATTTGATGGTGAAGTCCATATCTCACAGTTCAGGCAGTCCTTCAAGAAGCTTCCTAAATTTTCAAAGTTGGCAGAAAACAATGCCTCTCACACCCTACTGGAGGACTTCTGCCTTGCTTTCCTTCCTCTGCAGCCTACCTTACCACAAACAAAGTGAGGATGCAAAGGTTTCCTCTCCTGTATCCCTTCCAAAAAGAGTCACATGTCCTGACGACTGTTCCAGCATCATCCATAGCGCTGAGCACATGCCATATTTCCCAGGATGCACCGTGTTTCCGCAAACACCAAGCATGCAACCAAGAGCTATCGGATGACGATAACAGGGTTACATCTGGAAGTTGTGAGAAGGGACTGAAGTCTGACATTTGAAAGACATGTCTGGTTGGGAGTGGGGCTTAGTACTAAGCACTTGCCTAATGTACTCCGGGTAATAGATTCATTCCCCAACACTAGAAGAAAAATGGAGGGACCATGATGAATTAACGCAATGATCCTCCTATTCAGTGACAAGGATGCTTCATCAGTGACTCCTGGCTCCATCCTTTGCCAGCCTCTCAGCAATCTCACCACAGATCCTCCCACATCATCTCACAGCAGACACTCTTTTCCTCACTAGACAGATGTGCTATGTCATATCTGTCCAGTTCTCCAGCAACCTCCACAGTGCTCAAGAAAATGTACTCTGAATCAAATGCTTCGTGCATTCCATCTGAATTCATCCCCTTTCTTTCCCATAGTTTCTGGCCAGTGTGTACTTTTCTCTCCTGAATCCTTGGGGTTGGCTTTCTTGTGACCAGAAATGTACTTGGACCACCTGATTCTAGGCTGTGCCCTCATTCCTGTCACATGACCCTGACTTTCCCAGTGGCAACTTTCATTACCGGAAATGACTTGTGTTTATGTAACCCATTCTCTTCCTTCTCTAGAGCCCAAGTTCAATGACAAGGATCATGTTTCTCTTATGCCTACGATGTCTCTGAAGTGTGTAACAGTGAGACGCCCAGAGCAGGCACATAGATCTTTAAGTGAAAACAAAGGTAACCAAGACATATATATATGAAAAAGGATATGAGCATATAAAGTGAAAAGATACCATAGAAATGTGAAAAAACTGCCTGGTATAAATTATACACCATCATTTTCATCTTACCATAGATGAACATGAAAAATACTCAAAAGTAACATCATAAATATCCCTCTATCCATTCCTAAGTCTCCATACACTTCTTTCCAATTTTTTGGAGGTTTGTTTGAGTTTGATGTTGTTGAAACAGGACCTTGCTGTGCAACCCTGGGTAGTCTGAAACTCACTACTTAGACCAGGATGGTCTCAAATCCTCCTGCCTCTGCATCCTGAGTGCTAGGATTATAGGCATGTACCACCACATGTTTTTCAACCATAATGTTCCAGGTAAGTTACAGGTGAAACAGATGGATTTTCTGGGAATTAAACTGAAGGCCCCCTGGTTGAAAACAACAAACCTCAAAAGTAGCCAATAATATGACCCAACCCTTCTTTTCCCTCCGTTGCCCTATCCACTTTAAACACATATACAAAGCAAAATTGCAGTCATGGGAGAAAAAAATGCACATGCTGCAAGCTTAAATAATCTTTGCAGGGGGAAAAAAATCTCCTGCCCAATATGGCACTGTGAGCCGCATGCAGAACGATGCCTACCACATAAAATCAACTGAGAAGTCAATGTTCTATAGTACAAGTGATCCTCAGTTATTACAAGTCATTAAGTTTCATGTATGTCTTTAATTAGTTGACATGAAAAGAAACCCTTAGAATTACAGGTAGATTTATCCATGTCTATGGAAGGAATCAAGATGAGTGCCCTCCCCAGACAAATGGCTTCACTACCTGCTTGTCAAGCTCCTCAGGCCTCATCTTCTTCATTTCTTAATACTAATTTATGATGATGAGAGTCTCCAGACACACTTATTTATGAATCAATGACCTGCTCTTCTTCTACACTTACCTGTTTTCCCTGATCTACTGAATCTACCAAGAGTCAAAGTGAAAGAGAACTAATTGTTCTTCGTGAAGTGTTTGAGTATCCATCAGATAGCAGGCACTGTAGCTGGCATCTAAAACCCAGAAAGGCCCACTACAATGAAATAACTGCATAGCAAGAGAAAGCTAAGCACACAGTTGCAGCAGAGAGGTGGGTATTACGAGAGATGCAACAAGAAACTTGATAGACAGAGAAGAAAAGAAAGAAAGCTCCTGATGGGTTTGAGTGGGTAACACAAAATTTGGATGATAAATATTAATCAAGTGCTTAAGAAGAGTATTGTCGGGGTTCCTATGCATACCAAGAGATGAGCATGATTTTAAACTGCCCCGTGTTTTCAAAGGAATAGCAAAACCAACATTTGCTATAATGAAAATACTTTACTGGATTGTCTCATAGTTTTCAAAGTTTATGAGGAAAACTTTAAGCTAATACCTTTTAATAAATAATGTGCAACATCTGAAACCTTTCGGGAGACTTTTAAACAGACCATGAGTTGCTCCAATGGTGATTTAAAAAAAGTTCCTCGGGGACAATAATAATCAGACTACCCTGCCCAACGACACACTGACAGCACCTGGAGCAAGGTGGCAAGGGTTCGATAAACAGTGTGACTCACGAGCATGGCATAAGTCAGGATTTTTAACTCGCCAAAGACCAGCATTTGAGTTTCAATTCGCAAATCGGTGCTACCAAACTTCAGCAGCCCCTCACACGTGTGCAATGAGATCACATCAACTTGCCTCCCGTGACCAAAAGGAAAGGGTGGTTTTTTTTCTAAACGGTAATTCAGATTGGACAAATAACACACTGTACCCAGCTCTGTAGCCCCGGGCCATATTTTTGGTAAAAACAAAGGTACACTATGCAGGACTAAAGAAAACTGAGAACAGGAGCAATTAGTTTCAAGCTAAGGTTTTCACTGCTATGATTTGCTTGTAACACACAAACTTTTTTGGGGTGTCACACAATGATCCAAGTGTGTCACAACTCACATATTTCACTAACATGTAATATCCTTGACAACATTCTCGTAATGAGAATTCGCCTAAGAAATTTTTATTGATCCCTGGAATGTCTCGTGTTTTTTAAATTACTGACAAATCCTTCCTATTTTCTTTGCAGTTAGACATAATTTTCCTTGATCAGTCGAGTGTAAAAAGCAAAAAAGTACCAACATGAAATTGCTTTTTCTTAAAATACCAATGTCCCCGTAGACAGAGAACATTTCCCTTAACTTCCTCAAAACAATAATTGGAGAAGTTGCGACCAAGATCCCAAAACTATACGTAAGAAAACTAGAGACTTGGCCTCAAGTTAAGACAGCAAGAGGTTTCCACACCAAGGGCTTCTTTCAAATTATTTTCAAATGCTCTTCAGCTGAACTCCCTCCTAACTGGTGCAGCCTTTTGTTTTTCCAGAACTCAGGGACCTTCTCTCAGGTGGTTCCGCGTCCCTGCAGATACGTCTGGAACCTTCTGTTCCTGGGCTCTCTCCTTGTGTTTTGTTTCACTGGCACCTTTGTGGCCGCTCACAGCCACTGACCTCACCTTGGTGGAAGGTGACTAAGAAAAGAGCAGTCCTTAATAACTCGAGGAAGCCGCAAGGTCCCCATTCAGAACAGCGAGCACACAGTCTCCTTGGAGAGGCTCAAAGAAACAAGATACCTGCCGCCCCGCACAACTTCCGGAGGGTCTTTCTCCAATGTCAGAAGCCCTCGCCCTGCAGGGGACGGATGGGCACAGCGTGGAGCCACTCCGGGACGGGAGGAAAGGGGTGCCGGGGCGAGGGAGCAAAGTCAGCCGTTAAGTGAGGGACCGCGCTGGGGACACCCGCAGGAGAGGAGAGGACGCAGGGGATGGAGTGACGGCGGGCTGGGGAGAACGCGATGGGGACTGGAGGCTGTGGCTGTCCCCTGAGCGCGGTGGCTCTCCGAGCGGGTCCCGGGAGCGAGTGAGGCAGGTGGCTGGTCTCGAGCTGGGCGCCCTGCTGTGTCCCCAGCGCTCGCGGCCCCGGCGCGCCCCGCTGTCCCGGTTGCCCCGCTCCGGGAGGAGCACGTGTCCCGCCCCGATCGCCGCACAAAGCGCGGGCTGCCCCGGGGGGGGGACCCCCAGCTCGCCCTCAGCACCCCCGGAGCGCACCTTACCCGCCGCCGCGCCCGGGGCCCGCGTCCTCCGCGCCAGCACTCCGCGCACCACGCCGGCAACTTCTGCTGCCGCCGCCGCCGCAGTTCCTTTCCCTCCTCCCGCTCCGCCGCCGCCGCCGCCGCCGCCGCCGCTGGAATTTTTCTCACTCTCCCTCTGCAGCTCCCACTAGTGACTGCAGACTGCGAGCCAAGCACTTAGCGCAGGGATTACGCGGCCCGGCGCCTGGAGCGGCCCCAGCCACCTCCAGACCCGTCCTTCTCAGAGCATCCCAGGCGGTGCAGCGGACAAGCGTCCCCGGCTGGTCCAAAAGCCTCCGCCACACGCCCCCTTCAGCTTCCAGAAACAAAGCGCTTGCGAGCAGCGCTGAACCGGACGAGCTGGGAAGGACTCCAGGAGGCAGAGTGCGGTGAACTTCAACTTCTTCGGGGCCAGCGACACTTTGGAGAAGTTATGGAAACATTGGTCACACACCTCATAAAGGCGCGGGTGGGGGGGGAGCAACATCAAATTAGATTTGCAGTCTCGGGTGAGGCCTTAGAAATCTGGAGGCATACAGTTGGGCTTCCTAGGAAATTGAAAATTTTCCTTGCACAGATATTTTGGAACTGTAAACAATGAAAAAAAATGACCCAGAAATTCCATTTGCCTTTGATGATATTTTACAGTTTGGCTTGGGAAAGTATTTAACATCTTTTCTTTGTGGTCTCCTGGATAAGTCTACAAGTGTTTCGACACTTCGAGAAATAAATACAAAGCGAGGTGATTCAGATTCTCCGAAGATTTGGGGAGCATAGCTAATGTCTTTCAAGTCAGCCATTTGCCAACTGTTTCCCAGGGTGATAGTTCATGGATTCCAAGTATCCTTTCTTCCTGATGTCTTTCGGGTGCCCATTTTTCCCACCATAATTTGTTTCCTCATTTTGTAATATTTTTATTCCAAATATATTGAGCAGCCTCACTAGCCTTTGTTAGCAGTGTGATTTAAGTATTACATTATGTCCCTCTGTAGTCCTTTTCTTACAATTTTCTTATTATTATCTACTTAATTCTTACCATTTGACTTCACCCCTTTTGTTCTGAAGTTGTTCCCACTGAATCAGGCATTAAATAAAAAAATATTTTTGTCTATAAATAAGAGAACAAATCCAGGTGGCTATTACATATTTACTTCATACAGGTCGCTCTTAGGAGCAAGTGAGGCTCCTGGTGTTAAATAATGAGCTGGTATATTGTGAGCACATTTCTCCTGGAATGACAGTATCAGGGGCCCAGGGAATCTGCCTGCCCCATTGTTTATCTGTGGTAACCTTCCTGAAGTCATACTGCAAGAGGCAAGTTGTGTAGGAAGTTTTCTACATGGGGGATTTGCTTGTTGATGTCTCCTTTCCTTACTGGGCCACTGCTCTGGTCCCAGGTGCCAGTATTTACAGCTGAGAGGCTTCAAGGTGGAACTCATTCGGAGTCCTCCAACATAGCTTCATTCCTTCCCCTGCTATGTCTTCTCTGTCTTCTTTCCAAGCTGTAAGTATCTAACCATCGTACTTGTCTTTTTCATCATTTCCAACTCTTGACCTTAGTTTTAAAGAGGAAAGAAACTTAACTAGATCTACTCTCTGTGATATAGGAATTACTAGAAACCTTTACTTGATAGGTGCATAAGATTCTCCCTTAGAAATTCTGTCCTTATAAGCTGTAGTTAAATAAGTTGGACATTATAGGGAAAGGTACTTGACAACTCCAAATCAGAAGGAAAGCCCTCTGTGGGTCTTCTGATCAAGAAGGAGTCCTTTAAAAAAGTCTCTGACTGGAAGAAAAGAAGGAGAGAGCTCCATTAGCCATGTTTAGGGAGGACCCTAGAAAAACAGTACTTCGAGGGGCAGCAACAGTGTCCACAGAGCAAGCCATTCGTGATCAGCTTCAAAGAACCGTGGCAAGCCAGGTACATCCTTCCTTCTTCAAACTCATAATAAAGATAATCCCTTCTAAAAACTGAACATTAGAAATATATCATTTAGTGAAAGAACACATAGCTTTTAGTGTGCAGAGATTCTCAGGGTGTGTGTAGGAAAAGGAATGACCTTGGATAGGCTAATGAGATACAGCTTTGCTTTCTAGATGAAGATGCAGAATGGGAGTGTTGTTAATGGAACTTTTTCAGGCAATCATTTGGAGATACCTGAACAGGCAGGAGCAAGAGGGCATAATTTATCAAGACAGTTGTATCAAGAATGAAGATCTGGACCAGGACAATAGCTGTCTGCAAGATCACTAGAGACCTTGAAGGATGCATCCAACAAGAGGTAGTGACCCTCTACAATGCTCTCAAAGCAATAGAGAGCACTGAGGAGAGGAGAGAGGGTCTTTATTGGTGACAGGACAAATTTGAGCCAAGTGAAGATTTCCTTTTGCCTCTAGTTATAAAAAGACAGCAGGACATCACCACCACTGGCTGTTAAACTATTTGCAGATGCACTTCTTACTAAGGAAGACATTTGTCCAGGAACACTGGAATTAACTAAGAAATCTCATACAGGAAAAACTGAACAGACCTAAGGCGGGATAACATAAGCTTCCATACTTTCAGCTCCCCTGTGTCCTATAACCTTCCCTTTCGAGATTATAAATGCCTTCCACAATTAATATAAATCCAAGCCATAGTGTGTGAGTAACATCCTAAAGCGCATCCTTTCTCGAGATTTATTTTTGTCTTTAATTATTCGTATGCCTGTGTGTCTGTGTGTGGGCATATGCACATGAGTGAAGGTGCCTGCAGAGGTGCTTAGATTATCCCATTCTTGAGTGGATAATGCCTAATGTGGATGCTGGAAGTCCAACTCAGGTCCTCTGAAAGAGCAGGATGCCTTCTTAACCATCCAGCCCTCTCTCCTACCCCTGCGCTTTTGAACTATTATATTTCTAACCATGAAATGAAAGTGTGAATCTTGTTTTAGGAACCAGATGCAGGAAATATTTCGACAGAAGGAAGAACCTTTTTCCTGGCTCCTCCTTTCTTCTAGGATAGCCTATCAGTCCTGCTACAGTACATTGCCTTCATGTGTGCAACATAGAAAGGTAAGCCTCGCAATGGCTGTAGTACTTAAGTCCTTGCTCGTTCATTCATAGGAGAGTGTGTGACTGTGCAATGTATAGGTAGCTTCTATAACTGAAGCAAAGGTTATAGCTCATTCCAGGCACACTGCTAAGTAGATCAGATTCATCAGTCAACGGAAGCCTCGTGGCAAGTCAGCGTTATTTTCCTGCCACTTTACAAAAGAGGAAAGCAAGGCAGACAGACGCTTGATGCCATCCCCAAGGCCAGGCTAGAGTGTAGGAGAGGGAGAGTTGGAGACCAGACAGTCTGGCTACAGCACCTTAGTCTCAATCAATGCTCCGACTGCCTCCAGAACAGAGGGGACATTTTTCAAGTATCCAGTGGCCAGACATGAACAGGAAAAGCCTAAGATTGTGAAACTAAGACAGCGTATGAGTTTGATCTGATGAAGGAGGGAATACAAGGGTGGAAAACAAGGACACTGAGGTGCATGTCATCCAGTCACAGGCCTTCCCTGGCTTCTCAGTGGCAGCAGTCTAGGGTAGTGGCCAGGGATGCAGGGAAAGGCACGAGCAGCTTCAGGGTCCCCTCTGGGATGCACTGGAGCGGCTCCGGTGGGTCCTCTGCCCTTCCTGAGAATTCTCTTCCTGCTTTACACCGCTCTCTTCTGGTGTTTCATTCAAAATCTCTTTGTGACTCCCCAAAATAGGTATTTTTAGCTCAAAATTTGATTCTGTTTTTATGTATTATAACAGATTTCATGATAAGGCAGAGGGAGTTCATGCTCAGAACCATTGATGAGTTATGTGAGAGAGAACTTCAGTAGGGAGAGACAATTCAAAAGGACTCCAAGTCCCACTGGTATTTTATGGTTATGTATCCCCACATAAATAGTATGAAATATTTTAAGCAAGAACATCAATTAAACTAAATCTGCTATTTTATATGTAATATGTAAAAGATTAATATTAATTATAAATGGCGATTGTTTATCTGATATATAGTAATTTGAATTGGTGTATTATAATTCACTCTGAAAAATGTATCAGTGACAGTCTTAAAATACTCATCCAATATGCTCTTGTGCTCTGGTGCGCATTCTGTATTTCCCCTCATTTCTATAAAATCACTACTGAAATAAATAAGTACTTAAAACCGTCATCCAATTACTGTTGCATTCTAAAAATCTTTGCTATTTTCTTCTGATATCATTTGATTTCATATAAAGTAACCTCAATTACACACTAATAAATAGCATAGAATTTATAGTCCTATGACAAATTAGTCTGTCTTAAAGAAAACTAGAATTCTGCATTTGAAATAGAAGTAAACCATGACCTATGGGAAAAAATGTGAAATAGAAATACAAAAGTAATTCTGTTTTCTTTGAAATTGCATTTGGATAAAATGTCATTTTGGTAGTGCTATTTTTAAAGCACCCTTCCTCCGTTTCTTTTCTGTTTTTCAGCCTGAGGTGGGGTTGCCCAGACTGAGCTTGAACCCACCTTCTTCCAGCTCTGCCTCCTGGGATTGCAGGCATTTACCACCACGCCCAGCCCTTTCGTCTTTTTCAATTTCTAAAAGCCAGGTTGTTGGTTTTTTTTTTTTCCTGGACCATGATGATCCCTACACCTACATAATTCCTAAAAGTGGAGAATTAGGGAAAAAGTCTGTAACAAAACTAATAAAAAGTAATTCTTACATCTGTTTCTTTTGAATCTCTTGTCCCTGATGACTTTTTCCTTCTCTGGTGATTGCCAGTTTGGAATGTGTCCACGTTCTCCCTGACTCACAGTATATTTACAATGTGCTCCTAGGGAAGAAGTATACAGAGCAGTTTCCTCCTGAGCTGGAAAAATGGAAGCCAAGAAGCAACAGATACACAGGGACAGCAGTCCTCTGCTTATGCCACTTGAAAAGGATGGGGTTTTGAGTCTTACTAACTAAAACCCGTTCTTTCTGCCAAGTATTTCCAAATTAATGGAAGTGTTTGAAAGTTGGGGGATTCAACCTCTGAGACAGAGGAATAAATTCAAAATGCTTTAAGAGCTGGACCTGGTGCCATGAGCCTGTAATCCTAGCTACCCCAAAGCCTAAGGTGAGAGAATCAAAGGTTCAAAGCCAGCCTGGGCAACATAATGATAACCAGTATCAAAGGAGGAAAACTGGAAAGGCTTGGGTCAAAACTCAGTACAGGTTAGATCCCTGGCCTAACATGTTACAAGACCCTGCTTTCAAGCCCTGATATTAAAGGACTTTAACACAGCGCCAGCCCTAGAGAATGATTGTTGTGGAATAATCTTTTTGTACACTGTAAAGATGTGTCACTCTGGTTGGGTTAATAAAAAAATCTGAATGACCAATAGCTAGGCAGGATTTCCAGGTACAAAGGACGCTGGGAAGAAGGGCAGAGTCACAAGGAGATGCAGCGGAAGCAGAACATGTAAGAGATGAGGTAACAAGCCATGAGCCATGTGGCAGTGCGTAAATTAATAGAAACAGGTTAATTTATTAGAGATAGTTAGAAACTGACCTAAGCTATCCACTGTGCTTTCATAATTAATAAGTCTCGAGCTGGCTGGCAGGACAGAGAATGACTCGCTACAAATGATAATGAATATAACCATGTCAGTGGAAGGAAGACATGTTAGGAATGCTGTTGACATTTGCTCCTGTGATAAAGTCATGACTGGAAAGGCACCTTGGAGATGAAAGAGCCTGTTTGGCTTACAGGGAGAGTCGCTAAAGCAGTAACCTGGAGGCTGAGACCAAAGCAGAGACCACAGAGCACAGCTTCACTGAGTCCCTTCAGGCTCATGTTCCCCACAGGGGGCTGCACCCACCTACATCAATTAGCAAAAAGAAAATGCCCCCACAGATATGTCCATGGGCCAGTTCAATGGAGGAAATTCCTTAGTTGAAGTTCCCTCTTTCCAGATGTGTGAGGCTGACAACTGAGGCTAACCCTGAGCACATCCAACCCTATGCTGATTCTATGCATTGAAATACCACTTGCCAGTGCCGATATGTCAGAAGCACGAATGTGATGACATTCAGTGCATAATGCAGAAGAAAGTGTAAGGACCCCATGAGTTCTAGAAGCTTTGTGCTTCTCCCATGAAAATGAATATTAAAGAACCAAAGTCAGAGGGGAAAAGCACCAAAGGAGAAACGACATTTTCCATGAAACTAAACAAAAACAAAAAAATAAATAAACAGAACGAATGAACAAACAAACAAGCCCCACAGAAATGAAGGAGGGTTAGGAGCAAATCACATTCTAAATATGTTTTCTCTTTGAGACAGAAACGGAAGAAGACTAGGACAGTTGCATTCCCCCATAGCCATCTGTGTAGTTGTGGAGGTGAGGAGGGTTCTGTGAACACAAGTCATGTGACTCTGTCTTACTTCTCCCTCTTCCCCAAGCAGACAGGCACACACACACCCTTTGCTTTTTAAGCATGGCCTTACAACATCCTAGAGCTCAGAGCTCGTTGGTGGATGTCCACATGGGTTTTACAGTGATGGTGGAAAAATAACAGTTGTAGGCAAACAGCTGGATGAGTTGTGCATTACAACCCTGTTTACACTTTTACTTTAACCATAACTGTTTGCTTAACAAAGCAACTCTTCATTTGAATTTCCACAGTTGCGTGCATATCATAAGCATCTTAGGTTTCATGCCAGCCTGGCCAACACTTGTTTGGACTGACACACCTACTCAGGGTATAAAATCTTACATTGTAATTATCCTTCATAAGCAAACACAAACAGAGCCCAGATTCACAGACTTTCCAATTAACACCTCCTCCTCTATTTCTCAAAGACTTAACCCTCATAATGTTTGCTTTAGGTGGCCAACACTGATTCTATCTTTCATGACAGTTTATTTTCCTCACCTGTAGCACAAAACAGCCATCGTACATACTTACAAGGCATTTCCTAGATCACAATCCAGCGTGTGCCATGTCATCCTTCACTATTTTTACCCGTGGATAGATTTAGAAGATTTAGGATTCACTTTAATGTTTGGCATATTCTTTCACTTTTCACAGATTTCCCATTGAAACTAGTGTGTTTTCAGAGAAAACATTCAATGCGCCATCTCTATGTTAACCCCGGGCTGCAGTCTCCTTGTGAGTGAACACCGTTGAGAATTCATCCCTGTGCTTTGCCTGATCTTACATACCATACAACTGGTGAAGACACTCTCCCAGCAGCCAGGTCTAGCAGGATGACCAGCAAACATTGCAGGAGTCTGCACTCTGCCCAGCCCCCAATAGCATCTACTGTTTACTCGCATCTTTATTGCAGGGTATCATTGAATCCTTTAGGAAACCAGCTTTACTGTGATGTCACAAAAATCAGAGACAGAAAAACCAAACATAGAACTTCATCACACGATGTTACCCTAGTAAGTGCCTGAAAAGAAGAATAAACATGGCGATGACTCTAGTCACCTAAGCTTAGGAACACTGAACTCATGATCATCAATTTACATGAGTATCTTCTCCTTGTCCTTTGTCAACCACATAAAAAGCATGTTCAGTTATCTGGACTTTGGACCTCATTAATTCAACAAATGTTATACCCACTAGATACCGAAGATAAGTAAACAAGACAAAAAAATTCTACTCTCGAGGGTACAGTCCAGAAAGCCAGTTCCGTGAATTCATAATCGCTAAAAGATGTGACCCTTGTAATTTAATTTACAAGTATAGATACACATAGGTGACATATATGTACAGCGAACAGACAGACAGGCCTCTGTCCTCAAATGGGCAGTGTGCTGAATCTCAAGAAGCCAAACGCATTGCATGTTATCACATGAGAAGCATTTAAACCAAACAGCTAAGAACAAAACAGTAAACAGCACTGGCGTGTACATAAGAGAGCATCTGACACAGGAACGGTACAGACTGAACATCAGGAGGGAGGCCCAGAGTCAAATCCCCACAGTAGCTTGAGGATGGACTACACGAATCTGTGGAGACTCAGGTAGGCCAAGTCCTCCAGCTGCAGAATTTGAAGCCACAAGTGTTAGGCAATGATGGAGTCATCAGGGCCAGACTGCCTGGGTTCAAGTCCTGGCCAGACTCCTCACAAGCTGTGTCTTGAAGTCTTGAGGAGTGCTGATTCATTCCTAACCTGGCTAACCTGGGAGTCAGATTTCACATTCCCTTTCCTTGAAGAGATGTTAGCATCGGCCAAATAAGGAACTGTTCCAAACTTAAGACACGGAAGGGAAACAGCAGCCCTTAACCTCTGAAATCCTCAGGGCTGAGAATAGTGGAGGACAGTCAGGGGCACTGGAGGTCCCCAACTTCTCCTCTTCCCAGCTCAGGTTTCTCTAGCCTGTAGCCATCACCAGACAGCTGATGCAGAGCCACCCACAACAAAGCTTCCCAGACATCCCAGACATCCCAGACAATACTTCACAGTGCAGGTGGGGTCCATGTGTGCTTGGTACTTCCACAGTAACTGGGAACTCCCCCACCCCATCTTTCACTTTACCCTTTCAGACCCCTCCTTCCCTGGAAGTTCCCAATTCTATATGTGTGCACACAGTAATTGATCCTTTATTGTATAATGTGGTTCTATCGTTTTGACAGACAAATCAGACACACTGCCTAACCTTCCTGTGTCTTGGTTTGTCTTCATAGAATCTGGTGATATAGCTGAGTCAGTAAAGCACTTGCCATGTGAACCTGAGAACCAGAATTTACTTTTTTGAAAATTTATTTTATTATTATTATTTTTAGAAACACTCTTATTTGCATATCAATCCCCCCATTCCCTTGCCCTCCCATTTTCCCCACCGACCACCCCCCCAGCCCACTCCCCAAGGATAGTGAGGCCCTCCACAGAAGACCATCAAGGTCTGTCACATCATTTGGAGGAGGGCACAGGCCCTGCTTCCTGTATCTGCGCTGTAATAGTATCCCTCCATAGGGATGGGCTCCCAAAGTCCATTGTGCTCTAGGAATAAATGATGGCTCCACTGTTAGAGGTCCCATAGACTGCCCTGGCCTCCTAGCTGGCACCCACATTCAGAGGGCTTGGTTAGATCCAAAACTGGTTCCCAGCTTTATGACTAGCTCCTCTGTGCTCTCACTAGGTCAGGTCAACTGATTTTTCGGGTTTCTCTAGGACAGTCTTGGCTACTTTGCTCATCTGTCCTCCTCAGCAACTGAATTCCAGGAGCATGGCTCAGTGTTTAGCTGTGGGTGCCTGCTTCTGCTTTGATCAGCTACTGGATGAAGGCTCTAGGAATGGCAACCAAGGTAGTCATCAACCTCATTATAGGGGAAGGGCATGAAAGGCAGCCCCTGTACCACTGCCTAGATTCTTAGTTGGGGTTATCCCTGTGGATCCCCTACCATTTCCTCTGTGCCAGATCTCTCTCCAAAGCTGTGCTGGCTCCCTTTACCAAGGTATCTCCTTTCTTGCCCTCCTCTATTCCTCCCCTGTCTCAGTCCTGTTCTCTTCCCCCTTCCCCTTCTTCCCCTCACCCCTTCCACCTCCCTTCTCCCCCCCTGCTCCCAATTTGCTCCCAGGTTCCGTGTCCCCCTCCCCTTCTTCATGGGACCATGTGAGAACCAGAGTTTGATGCCCAGAACAAAAACCCAGGTTCAGTAACTGAAACTACACATTACTAACATGCCAAG